GGACCGCGTGTACTGTTCACAAGCTGACTGCATTTCAATGAAACCAATCTGGTGGCTGTACAGCTGCTGGATCGGTTTCTGTGACACTTAAACCTCCCCATCCAACTCACCGTGCTTCCTGGGCTCCACAGTCCCACCAACAGGTGAAGGGGAGGGAGACCAGCGAACATCTCTTCACTGATCTCCCCAGCTAGAATGAACCAGTAAGCGAGCTGTAAAATGTCACTTCCAGTTTCCGGTGACACTTTCCCTGGCCCTTGACACCAGGGAAGATGCTAAAGCCGCACAATCTGCACTCCATTAGCTTCAGTGGAAGGCAGGTGAGGTGTCATGGGTCTAAAAGACCCCTGATGTCTCTTTAAAGAGAAAAAAATAAAATTACTACCAAGCACCTAAACTACCCCCCCCCCCCCCCAAAAAAAAAAAAATGAGCCTGTGCACGCACATACAAATGTAAACATGCCCCATCAGAGAGCACCTACATACAAGAAAGTTCAATTGCAATACAGCTGTTACATGTTGCTGCGCACACCGGAGTGGGAGCACAGAAACAAGATGGTAGGATATTGGTGTCCGTGCCCTTATATGGACACATACTAGTATTTAGCCAATGATATTTACTTTGCTTACATGTGCTGCAGGGTAGGAAATGACCCAGGCCACACCTAACTTTAGGAAAAAAAGGGTGAAGCTCTGGAGTTAAAATATGAGTTCAGAGGACGCTCGAGTTCTCTAGTTATAATGTGATGGTTTGCACATCAACAATAGGGTAGACTTACCTCACATAGGGTCCACTTCTAGCAATGACTACTCCCAAGCTCAAGTCATCTGCTGTCACCCTCTGCCTACACTGCTGCTCCTAGCTCCCACCATGCTGCCTTTTACCCATTGGGTAGCCGCTGCTGGGTAGGACTCCTGCTCATGCGCAAAGGAGTTACATAGACCCCAGCATGAAGCTCCATTCTCAGCATTTTACAGGAGCCAGACGATTGTCCAGGACATACTGCCGGTGTTAGACTTACAAATAAAGGGCCAGCAAGCCCTAAACCAGGACTGCCTGGCTGGAGTGATCTCATTGGGAAGGTGTAGTGCTTCGCTATGAGATCAATCCATCCAGGTAGTCCTGGTTTAGGACTAGTTGGCCCAGTTTTATTTGAGAAGAAAGTAAAAGTTCAAGAAATCAAATGGTTGCCCTAACAGGGGTGTTCTATGATATTGAGCCACCTGATTCTCTCTTGTAGGCCTTTGGTTTGGTCCCTTAGTCCAGTGTTTCTCAACCTTTTTTCAGTAAAGGCACCCTTTAAAACTGTGGATAATCTCAAGGCACCCTTTAAAATTCTGCACAATATCAAGACACCCCAATCTAAAATGTAAAAACCTATTCTACACACATCCATTACACCCAATATTAGAGGTGATTTATTCTTCCAAAGCAGATACACCTTTGAACACAGGTACTGACTAGTATTCAAGTGTGTCTCTGTCATTTTCTCTCCCTCACTCTCTGCTAATGTGAACCCAGTGCTGATGGAGAGGGGAAGGGGAGGGCCAAACAAGAATAAACACTTATTAATTCCAATAAGTGTATATTATTTGGTTTGTATAAAAGTTATAACATCTACAAAATATGGTATATATACTGGAATTTACACAGCTATAGACGCTGTGCTGGTAATGGTGGTGATCAGGGACTTTTAATGTGACTGTGATAGTGTGGCGGGCAATCTGGCGCTATTTGACACTGACTGAGAGGGACACTAACGGACACTGACTTCGCTAATGGCAATAATACAGTGAAAAGTATAATACTATACTACTGACACTAATGGGTTACCAGAAGGGCAATCAAAGGGTTAAATGTGTGCCTAACGAGTGTATGTGTGCTGCTTTTACTCAGAGGATCTGTCTGTCTTTTGTTCATAAATGCAAAGTTTATTTCAGGAAGAAGAAACAGCCAGATTGCTGTTCTGTGTTTGGTAATCTGTGTTATGGATGTTTGTAAACACAGAACAATGTGTTGTGATTGGTCACAGCCAATTAGCAGGTGTACAGCTAAAATCATTGGCTATAACTTGCCAACATCTTGTGTTGTGTCCAATCGCAGCATAGGCCAGCGGGGGGCAGGCCCACACAATGCCAAATTGAGTTCACTGCAATGTGTGGGTACGTCGTGGTGCCTGGCTGTGCCGTCCGCTAGCAGTAATTGTATTGTTAGTGGGCAGCAAGTGGTTGAAGTGACACTAAACAATATCCTTCTGCATAAATAATTCATACATACCCACTATTTGTTGGGCCTGTAATTTAATTTTCATGAAATAGTTTTTTTGCCACTTTGTAATGTCCTCGTGAGTTCCTAACCTCTCCTTTTTACCCCTCACTTCCATTTGTTTGGAATGAGCAGTGCACTGCTGTGTGTACACTACAAATCCCATAGTCCCTAGTCCAGCTCGGGAGCAAGCAGAGGGGGTGATCATGTTCCTACATACATTGGGACCATGGAGAATGAACATAGAGCCACCCTCTATAAAATGGCTCCGGCTCCCTTTTTGCTGTGTATCTATAGATGTGTAAGAATTCTTGTGACAATATGAGTGAATGTTTCATAAATAGTTAATGTTGCCACTTTCTGTTCTCATTTATAGAGGCCTTTTTAACCAGTTCCCGCCGACCTGGCACTTACAGTTGGTCCATATATCAGGGATGTGCAATTCCTAACGCCCGATGCCCGGGACATGCATTTCCAGGCACTGGGCAGGTAGATTTTTTTTTTTTTTTACCTCTAGCCGTACTGTGGGCAAGCAGCAGGGCTCACCTGTCAGGTGGAAGCATTCGGGTGGCATCGCTGCCGCCCGATTGCTTCCACACAGCCCACAGTGTCAGCCTCTCCCCCCTGCCCACTATATGTCCTGGGCTCCGCTTGCCCATCTGCGAGCCCGGGACTGACTCAGTGTGCGCCGGAGGGATGCGATATAGGGGAGGGAGGAGAGCGGACACATCCGCTCCCCTCCTCTTCTTCTCCTGACCCAGACGTAATGTGACGTCACTTCTGGGTCCCCGTTTGACATATTCCTGGTCATTGAGACCGGGAAAGAATGTAATGCAGTGCGATGTGCACTGCATTACATTCAGTGGTGTACAGGGGAGATATCCAGCGTCTTTTAGACCCTAGATGTCTCAAAAAAGAGAACCTGTCACCAAAACAATCATCACATAGGGGACTTTTTGTCCCCTATGTGATTTAAAAAAGGAAGTTACACCCAAGCATATAACCCTACCCCCAATTTTTCAAGGCCCCCCACCCACGCATATATGCACGCACAAATATAAAAGCACACACTGGGGTGCCTACACATGAAAACGTCGATTGCGATACGCATGTTACATATCGCCATGCACACTAGAATGAGAGCAATAATTTGAGGACCAGACCTCCTCCGCAACGCAAAACTGATGACCTATATGGGGCTATAAAAGTGCCACATATACAAAATATAGGGTACTGAAGGTTGTCGCCATTTCATGAGTGCACGCAAATTTATTGGTAAACACTTTACTGTGCTGAGAGTGCACTCCCTGTACCCTCCCAGCTCAGTAATGAATGGTTACTGGAAACCTCCCAATGCATACTTGCAATCTGGAACATTCCAATCATGTGATTGCCAATCACAGTGGTCACATGATAGGAATGCCTGCCTCTGCCTCCCGGCATTTAGATCCACTGGGAGGCGGTGGTGGGAAGGGGTTAATAGGGTGACCTAAGTCCTTAGGAGGGTGGTCTCTCTGTGATTTTTATCGGTGCAGCTTGAGTAATGGCTGCTCTGTCCATTTAGCAGCAGATGGGGATTTACTTTAAGCCCTCATACACACGGGACATTTTAATAACGCTGGTAACGTTAGCTGTGTAAAGTCACGTTAAAAACCAGAGTTTTTTTCAGCTCTTTTTGAGCATATTTGCATTAGAGTTTAGCTGCGTTTAGCGGATTTTTTCCGCGTTTATAGCAAAAAAAAAAATTGGGGGGTCAAAAAAAGTCCCAAAACACCGGTTTTTCAGTGTTACAGCATTTTTACAGCTAAAAAACTCCTTTAGAAACCCACTAGTCCTGGGGTTGTTTTCCAGCCAAAAAACGTTGATTACAGTCTATGCATGGACACATAGGATAACATGCTGGGAGGTTTACTAGCTGTAGAAAAAAACGTCAAAAGCCAAAAACAGCCACCGGACAAAACGTCCAGTGTGCATGAGGGCTTAATGCAATTGCCCCTTCTGCTGGATTGCTTGGCCTGTTACAGTTAGCAGAAAAATAACAGATTTATTGGTAGGATCAACATGATAAAATATGTTATTGGTATTGAAACTCCTCATTATGTATGTCATTGTTTTTATTTTGCCTATAGTTCCACTTAAAACGTGTTTTGTGTAGATTTGCCAGATAGTACATCTCCATCTGTACCTTTAACCCACTGCCGAAGTAAGTGTGGCAGTTCCCGTAGACACCAATTCAGGTCATGAATTTGTGCTAGATTTTAATAATGTCAGTATGTTAAAATTAAATAAATAGGACCTGTGGGGTAAAACAAAGCAAGGAAATCATTTAAACCCTTGGTGCCGGTGCCTTCCATTCCTTTAGGGGTTTCTGATGCCAGGAGGCGGGGCAGTGCTTAAGCTCATGTGATGCAGTGATTGGCTGTCACAGTAGTCACTTGATCAGAAAGCTCCCGATCGCTACTTGCGTATTACTACTTGCTGTGTGAGACGCTATAACTGTGTCGGGATTGCACAGGGTGCACTCTGTCAGCATGGTTGTTTACATTGGATACGCAGATATGCAGCCTCTCGACGTCAAGGCCTAGCCACCGAGAGGCTGCAAATTTGTGTACCGCTGACGCCAAGGAGTTAATGAATTATGAGACTCAGATTTATGTTTATGAATGCAGATGAAGCACCTGTGCTTTTTTCACCACTTTATAGTTGAATCATTCCTTGTTTCTTGTCTTTCAGAATGGAGCAGGTTGTATTAAGTTATGGAGACTCCCTTTTACGTTCTTCTGATGTTACTCTACTTGATGCTCCTCATTGGTTGAATGATAACATCATCGGCTTTACCTTTGAATTCTTGGCATCGTCCTTGGCACCATCTACAGCTGAAAGAGTTGCTTTCCTCAGCCCTGAAGTGAGCCAGTTCATCAAATGCTGTGGGAATGAAGCCAAAGATTTCCTACAGCCGCTAGAACTTCCTAACAAGGACCTTGTTTTGTTACCTGTGAATGATAATGCAGGGTCAGAAGCAGGTGGCACACACTGGAGCCTCCTTGCCTACCTCCGTAGGTTCCATGGTTTTCTTCATTTTGACTCTGCACCAGGGACTAATGCCCCACATGCTAAGCGCATGGCAAAAAACCTAAGTATGTTACTGGGTGGTAATCCTCATTGTCAGGAGGAGAAGGCACCTGTCCAGCACAACAGCTATGATTGTGGAATGTATGTGGTATGTGTGGCTGAAGCGCTCTGTGAGCAGTATTTTGTTGGGGGTAACAATCTGAACTTTCAAAATATTACACCCCAGTATGTTACACAGAAGAGGAAAGAATGGAAAGAGATCATCAGGGGACTGAGTTCTCATTGCAAGGCAAATTCTGGCCTTTGAGTTCAGTCAGATTGCTTATGCATGAAGAGAATTTGAAAAATGAGTTTCGCTTTTGACTACTACCAGATCCAAATTATAGGGTGCATTAAAATTTATTAATTACCACAATGGTGTTCTTTTCTTTCCCCTTTAAAATGGGGGGGGGGGGGGGGTTCCAGTGCTGGAGGGGCAACCTGACTGCTCCGAGCTCCAAGATGTTGATGAGGGTTATCTCTCTTGACCATGTTCCCTGAACTGTGACATATTGGAAGACTCCTCCCTAGTCTGACAGACTTATGTCTGTTGTAAGAACTTCCCAATTGTAAGGAAGGAGACATTTTCCCAGCATTGAAGCTGGGAGTGGATAGGAGCATGGGTAAGTCCAAATCCTGCTTTTTCCATGCTGATAGAATGCTTTGTTAGGGAGTTCTTGAGTGAACAGGTATTCTCAACCAGTCTACAGAGAAAGGGGCTGTGTGTTAATTATGGATCCCGCACTGTTTACAGAAATGGGATTTTAAAGGATACGTTCACCTTTATGAACATGTTACACACATATTTAGGGTGTGTTGAAGATCTATACGTTTACCTTCAAACCGTGCACCCCGTATATTCCTGCTCTGTTCCTAAAATTCACAAAGACCCCGTGTCACCTAAGATGGACTAATTGTATCAGGGCAGGACTTGTTTTTTACTCCATTGCCACCTTCCTCGACAAGATACTGGCTCTGCTAGTACAAGGGACTAAAGCCGGCCATATGTGGATCAAAAGCTGACTGGCTCAGCAGGGACCAGACAAATTTTGATCCATGTATGAGCACCCTAATTGTACACAAATCAGTCTATTTCATACGTCTGTTTTAGATTAAAGCTTTAACCACTGTCTAGTTATATTTCAACAACTGCTTTTCAACCCAGTACTGAGGAAGTGGGCTATGTCTGTGAAATGTCAGTTGCCTAAGATATGGGTTTTAGATATGATTCTGTCTGTAGAACAAGCTACATTGTAAGGTTTTCATATACAGTTGCAAGAAAAAGTATGTGAACCCCTTGGCATTACGTGGAATTTTGCATGAATTGGGCATAAAATGTGCTCTGAACGTCATCTAAGTCACAGCAATAGAAGAACACAGTCTGCTGAGCATAATACTACACAAACATTAGATGTTGCCATGGTTTAATTGCACATAACATGTAAACATTCACAGTGCAGGGAGGAAAAAGTATGTGAACCTTTGGACTTAATAACTGGTTAACCCTCCTTTGGCAGCAATAACCTCAACCAAACGTTTCCTGTAGTTGCAGATCAGACCTGCACAACGATCTGGAGTCATTTTGGACCACTCCTCTTCACAAAACTGTTTCAGTGTAGCAATATTCTTGGGATGTCTGGTGTGAATCGCTCTCTTAAGGTAATGCCACAACATTTCAATCAGGTTGAGGTCAGGACTCTGACTGGGCCACTCCAGAAGGCATATTCTGTGCTGTTGCAGCCATTGTTTTGTTGAATTACTTGTATGCTTTGGGTCATTGTCCTGTTGCATCACCCATCCTCTGCGGAGCTTCAGTTGGCGGACAGATGGTCGTACGTTTTCCTGCAAAATGTCTTGATAAACTCTGGAATTCATTTTCCCATCAATGACATCAATCCGTCCAGGCCCTGAGGCAGCAAAGCAGCCCCAAACCATGATGCTCCCTCCGCCATGTTTTACAGTGGGGATGAGGTTTTGATGTTGGTGTGCTGTGCCTTTTTTTCTCCACACATAGTGTTGTGTGTTCTTCCCAAATAACTCAACAAAAATGTTAGCATGTGCCAGAGATTGCTGTAGGTCTTTAGCTGACACTCTGGGATTCTTCTTTACCTCGTGCAGCATTCTGCGCTGTGCTCTTGCAGTCATTTTTACAGGACAACCACGCCTAGGGAGAGTAGCAACAGTGCTAAACTTTCTCCATTTGTAGACAGTCTGTCTTACTGTGGACACATGAACATCAAGGCTTTTGGAGATACTTTTGTAACCCTTTCCAGCTTCATGCAAGTCAACAATTCTTGATCGTAGGTCTTCTGAAAGCTCTTTTCTGTGAGGCATGGTTCACATCAGACAGTGCTTCTTGAAACCAGTAAACCCAAAACAGGTGTGTGTTTTTTAAGGGCAGGACAGCTGTCAGCAACACATCCAATATCATCACACTGATTGGAGTCAAGGCTCACTCCTGGCTCCAATTAGCTCTAGGAGAAGTCATTAAGCTAGGGCCTCACATACTTTTTCCTCCCTGCACTGTGAATGTTTACATGTTATGTGCAATTAAACCATGGCAACATCTAATGTTTGTGTAGTATTATGTTCAGCAGACTGTGTTCTTCTATTGTTGTGACTTAGATGACGTTCAGAGCACATTTTATGCCCAATTCATGCAAAACTCCATGTAATCTCAAGGGGTTCACATACTTTTTCTTGCAACTGTAACTTGTAAAAGTACCTCGTATACACAAAGTATTTGGTTTTAATGAGTGTATGTTTATGAAACTTTTATGCAGTTTGTTAAGGAAACTTTGAAATGTGAAATTATCTGCTTTCCCAGTAATATATACAAAGTCCCTTTTTTTTTTTTTTTTTTTTTTTTTTTTTTTTTTTTTCTACCACTTTTTTCTAAAGCAGGGAATCTGACATTTACTAAAACTTTCATTGCAAGTGAATCTTATTTGAGTGACAGTGATTGTTTTACCACTGAGGAACGTATAGTGAAAAATACATTTACTTCTTAAAAGATAAGTTTGCCTTTTGGAACATGTTACATGTTCCAACTTAAATATGAGTAAAACATGTAACATATTCCAGCTCCAGCAGCCAGTTCCCCCCCCCTCCCCTTTGTGAAAGCAGGTGAGAGCTTTTCTCCCCGCACCCACTGTCACAGTTAAAAGCAGCATGGCCGTGCAAGACTCTACCGACACATGATCGCGTCATTCATTCACAGTTTCACATTTGTGAATGCATGAATTACAACTACCATCAGCCATTGCCACTGGCGACTTGTAGTACTGCATGAATTGCGAGGTCGTTGATAAGTGCTCTTTTAATGCATTCACAAGCCCTGCAGCTTGTAAACCGTCAGACCATATTGGAGGTAGGGGCTGAAAGCTGAAGGGCTTGTCTGCAGGAGTCTGACTTCCGCTGATCATGGTTGCAATGCTTTCCAGGCTCGTCAGGGAAAATATTATAAATGCACGTTTTTTTCCTGCAAAAATATTTAACTATTTTCCCTAAGGTGTACTTATCCTTAAGGAAGATGGCCTGAATTCTCCTGGAAATTGACAAATATACAGTATCTCACAGAACTGAGTACACCTCTCACATTTTTGTAAATATTATATTCTATCTTTTCATGTGACAACAATGAAGAAATGACACTTTCTACAATGTAAAGTAGTGAGTGTACAGCTTGTATAACAGTGTAAATTTGCTGTCCCCTCAAAATAACTCAACACACAGCTATTAATGTCTAAACCGCTGGCAACAAAAGTGAGTACACCCCTAAGTGAAAATGTCCAAATTCAGCTCCCAGGGAAGGTGCAAGACTTTGTCTGCATGCTTGTCAAATCACAATTTGACAATGCCAGCTGTATGAATTGGAGCGGTATGGTCTTGGTAAATGTCGCTGTCTGCGGGGTGGGGGTCACATGGTCGGCCGAAATTTGTACACAGTTGATGCCAGGGACTCTACCTCTCAAGGTGAAGATGGGCCCTGCAGAATACCAAGATTTGGCTGCCCAAACCATGATTGTGTCTCCACCATGCTAAACCCTTGGCACAAGACAGTCCTGGTCATAAGCTTGGGACAGCGTTCCTCACAAGTAAACATGTCCGGTGGTTGGGAACAGTGTGAAGCTTGATTCATCCAACCATATTACAGTCTTCCATTGATCGATAAGCCAAAATTTATGGGTGTTGCACCACTCTCTTTGCTTCTGAGCATTAATATCGGTCACTAGTCTTGTGGCAATTGCAGCTCCCCTGTGAATGTTTTGCTTATGGTGTTCCCTCCACACCATTTTTGTGGACACAGGCTTTGGAAGACTGAGATTGAGCTCTGCAGTCACTTTTGCAGCAGTTGTTTTCTTATTCCGGGTCACAATTCTTTGCAATGTCCTTTTTTCTCTTTCAGTCAGTTGACCATATCGACCGCGCTTATGCTTATCAGATGACGTATCACCTGTATATGCCGTCATAACTTTTGATCCTGTACCTCATGATGCCGCATATATATTGGCAACTTCAGTCACAGAGGCACCAGCTAAGCAGGCACCAACAGTTTGCCCTCTTTGAAACTCAGTAAGCTCTGACATGACTTAGTGGGGTGAGATTTACTAACATTGGTTCATTCAGGATCTCGTGCACCTGTGCATGGTAGCCAATCAGCTTCTAACCTCAGCTTGTTCAATTAAACTTTAGCAATAAAACCTGTCAGATGATTGGTTTCCATGCAGACGTAGACGAGATTCTAAGTGAACTAGGAAATTTCGTAAAAAAAAAACCCCTCTTACTAGCAGCTCAAGCAGTGATTGATGAAAGTGAGGCTTCCCACCTGTTAACTAGGTGTCTCATCACACAGTGGAACCAAAAGAATGTTAAGCGCTGCGCAAACTGTTGGCGCTATAAAAATCCTGTATAATAATAATAATAATAATGTTACATTACTTCCACATTCAATGCGAAGCATGTCGTCACTTTCACACCATGTAGTGTTTCCATATTTTTGTCCCAGTACAAGGCAAGTGTTTTGTTGTACATATTTAAATGACCACAAGGTGGCACTGTATGCAAAAAGTAAAATATAGGACAGCCTTGTCTCTTACATTTGCATTCTGAAGTTTGGACATTGCTGGTCAGGCTACACATTGTGTTCATGTTCTGCCTCAAAGCCTCTGCAGGGGGTAAACCTGATTCATTTCTGCAAACTTTAATCCACAGTTAGCATGTATTTGCAGGATTTATGGCTGAACTAAACCCACCAATTAAGGTTTT